TAGCGAATTTCGTGATACAGCGAACCATCGACCGTGCCCCTGTTTGAGCCCGTGTCGAATTGACCCGTTGTACTGTTAGCGTTCGAAAAACGAACCATGTCTCGTTGGGACAGCAGGTGAACCAAGCGCACTCGTGCAGTCACTTGCTGCATGCCACGCATGATGATGTGTTGTTTGTAGTTTGTATGGTGCGAGTGGATTACTGTTATCAACATAACGGTGCGAAGAGTTCTTTCTCCTGCGTGTTGGTGTTCGCTTTTTGTCACGAGTCAACTGTAAAAAAAAAGAAAAAAAAGAAAAAAAGTAAAGTATTGTGTCTGTTCCCGAAGGGAACTCACGACGGCCGCTAACACCCGGTAAACCCGGGCGGCAGATTCAGCGCCGACTGTTTGTGCGTGTATGTGTTGTGTATGTTAAGACGGGTGCCTGGGGTGAGGCTGAACAGCGTCGGTGGCTTGTGCGGCGGCGTGTGCAGCTCGAAGCCGTCCTCGACGTGTTGCAGAGAGGATCACGCCAGCTGCAGGAAGCACTGAATCAGAAGGACTTGGAAACTGCAAGGTGAGCGCAGTGCAGTCTTCCTAGAGAGCTGCCGGTTGAGTGGTCTCCATCGCTCACGGGTCTTGCTTGTTTCGCCAGTGCCCACACTTGATGCTCACATTGTCGCCCGAGTTCGGGTGCGTTCAACATCAAAACAACAAATACAGTACAGTGAATCCTGGTTAGGAAGAACAGTGATAAGACAAATGTTTGCCTAAGAAGAACTAGTATCCGTAACTGTATTGGATAAAGCCCTGTGTATTCACTGGGTAAAACATATGGATAAGAAGAACTCCCGTTATTGCGAACAAATATCAATGGTCCCTTGATGTTCGTCCTAAAGAAGTTTGACTGTACTTCCTTCTCGTCATCTTTCGAAGAAAAATTATTCTCACCCGCATGCATGTTTTTGGCGTCTCTGATCTCTATGGTCAAGAGTACATGAAAACCAGAGTGTGCAGCTCGGATGGGTTGCTGTCACGGCGGAATTCCGTGATCACATCATTTTAGTGATGTAGTGCGTACAAGCAGGATTCAAGCAGGTCTCTTTCTGCAGAACTGCAGCTCAGTTGTACGCACTACGCCATTTCCCGCCTCAGATCAGCGCCAAATATGATGTAATCGCGGAATTCCGCCGTGACAGACACCCATAGTAGAAAAAGCCCCAAGCTGCACACTCTGGTTTTCATGTACTCTTGCTATGATCAAGAGTACCTAACTCGCAAGAGTGTGCAACTGCCTGCACAACCTTTATCCAGTGCTGCAACGGCAGAACTTTTCATCACATAACATGGGGCTGTCGATTTTGGGTTGCGACATATTGCAATTTGCTCTGTTCAGCTGTGTAGGCTTGCACGTCTATGCTGAGTATAGATGTGAACAGCCCTCGTAGTGCATGCCGAGCAGCAAAGAACGCGACGCGGCGAAGCTGACCTGCTGCTTTGCCATTGGGAATCTCTTCCCATGGCGGTAATGACTATTAATAACTGTACTCTGTGGATGGAGAACTAATTCTAAGATGTAGACATCCTAAAGGCTTCCATGCGATGTTGCATGTGTCTCTTCTCTTGTGTGTGCGTTTGTCGTTTTGTGTGTCGTTGTGTGTGTTGGTCATTGTGTTTGTGTGTGTGTGTGTGCGTGTGTGTGTGTGTGTGTGTGTGTGTGTGTGTGTGTGTGTGTGTGTGTGTGTGTGGGCATGCGTGTGTGCACACGTGTGTGTATGTGTGTGTATGTGTGTGTGACCTATGCATAGATCTTTACTCGAGAACGGAGTGGTGTCAGCACAATGCGCATTCTCTAAACCTAAGAAGGAATCTGCTCTCTGGTATGCATGCCATCAGGTATGTGGCAAGTCTTTGCCGTTGATTAGCTATGTGCAATTGAATTCAATGTTTTGAGTTCTTTATTCTCAATGTTACTTATCGCATTGCTCCGTCACCGCTTGTATCCGTTTTGAATACATACGAATATAATCGAGGGCTCTGCAGCGAGGCAACTTCTTGTTCCCACTTGTTGTGTCCTGTGTGTGCTGTGTGTGCTGTGTGTGTGTGTGCAGTGTTGCCAACCGCCCGTATTTGTCCTTATTTTTACGGAAAAACGAAGTTTTCTCTGCAGTACGGATTCTAATCAATTATCCCGCAAACGATCATGTATATTATTGATTACTAAGACCATCGTAACTCCATCGTTTCTTGTGCAAATTCAACAATCCAAGAGTCTACGTGATAGCATAAACTCCAAGCTGTCCAATGCAACAATTGCTGAAGTGTTACGATGTCGGACTCCTGAGATATTGCGCGCCGTATTCAGGTATTCTTACCTTGGCAAAATCAAATTTTTCGATCGAACTCTTCGCCATTTTGGGGGAAATCCCTTTTTGTGTGCTCTTTGAGCGACTGAGCACTTTATAATGATGTGACCGGCGGAAGTTTGAATCGCCTCGAAAAAATTTGAGCGTTCTGCGATGAAGGAGAGTGGAATGGTGTTGATGGGACGATGTGCTTGCATATTAGGCTTGGAGAAGACTTTGCTGTGTTACCGCGCCTGATTTGTGGTGACTTCATAATGGAGCTTGGCATCCTGGCGTTGCTCCTGCCTAGAGCTTTCCAACGAGCCCTAGGTTATGAAAATCTAGCGAAGTAGACCAAAGTTATGACCTGGTGAAGTTGAAAATTGTACTGAATTCGTGCGTAGGTTTCAAAAGTGAACTAGATCAGTCAAAATGTTGACCTGAAAAACGAGTACGGAAAACTCGGAAAAATTATGCAAAATGGCACTGGGCAATACGCATGGGGGTAGAGGGCACTTGGTAACACGTGTGTGTGTGTGTGTGTGTGTGTGTGTGTGTGTGTGTGTGTGTGTGTGTGTGTGTGTGTGTGTGTGTGTGTGTGTGTGTGTGTGTGTGTGTGTGCTGTGTGTGCTGTCCATGCAGGGTCTCACAGAGTTTGCAGAACTGTTACTGGATCATGGAGCACTCGTGAGTTTGCAAAGGCGTGGAGAAATCACACACCATCACAGCACACTGTTTGGCGCTCCTGACAATGTCATCAATAGCCTTTTGGAGGCATTCAATCTGATTTCATGTACCTGGTATTATTTTATGCTGTAAGAAAACGACAGCAACAACCAACAACAACAACAACAACGACGACAACGACAACAACTTTCTCTTATTGGCCACAGGCCATCGTGAGAATAAAAGATTTCAAACAACAACAACAACAACAACAACAACAACAACAACAACAACAACAACAACAACAACAACAACAACAACAACAACAACAACAACAGCAGCAGCAACAACAACAGGGCAAGTTAGTTAGAGCAGACTCGCTCCTTTCCAGTTACGCCGCAACCATCCCATTCCTTCCCACCCTACAGTCAAGTTTGTTAAAAAAACGTTAACGTTTCAGCACAGCATCATCAGGTTTGAAAACAGACAAAAAAGAAGGAGCGTACACATTGTTATGTTCGCCAGAATATGATCGACAGAGAACTACATGAGCAAGAGCACAATATATTACAACTATACTTCAGAACGACAAGCAAGGAACTATTCGAAATCAGGAAACGAATAACTGACATAGCTGACAGAGTAGACTACGCGCTCTACTTCAAACACTACGCATAACGTACACATGGCAAAGCAGTTGACAACAGTGTACAAGGCATGCATGTATAATGTGCAGTACACACAGAGCAGCGTATGGCGTACAGATCATGTACAGACAGACTATGGATTCAAACATAACACTCCTCCTCCTTTAGATAAGAAACGCCGTGAGGAATAGAATGTTGTTCATACTAAAACAAAAAAGAACTACTGCGTTGCAACAGGGAACACAGTAAAGGTAAAGCTCACAGAACAATTAACAAAACGGAATGAGCTGTGCTAGAATCATGACAGGACTGTTAGTGTCATCACAATTCTTCAATCAAGCGTTGACGGGGACGATGCTGTCTGGAGGATCGGCGCGGCGACTGTGCTGGCTTAGCCTCAGACGATGTGGATAGGGGTTGAGCTACTTCGATGTCTGCATCGGGCTCAAATGCTGGCTCGACAGTTGGTACAGCGGGAGCGTGTTCTGCTGGTGCATTGACTGGTGCAGGTACGGTAGAAGGCTGGCGGAACTCAACGGCCGGTTGCGGTTGCATTTCAATTTGTTCAGTCTCCTCTTCCCTCTCAGATTCTGCCATACGAAGGTGGTCAGAATGTACATGTCGCGTCTGTTCACCGGTACGAACGATGTACGATAGCGGACCAAGCCGCTCGGCGATAGTTCCGTGAATCCACTTTGGACCATTGCCATTACGAGTGTTGAGTACTGCTACAGCATCACCGGGAGTATAGTCTCTCTTCGTTGATGACGCTGTAGTCTGACGCTGACGCTGGGAACTACTGAAATTGGGCTTCAGCAGGGAGAACTTGACGTTTGGGGATTTCTTGAACACCAAGCTTGCAGGCGTGACTTGTGTTGTTGAATGTGGTGTGTTGCGGTACGCGAACACAAAACGGTGGAGCTGGGTGCCGGCTGACACGTTGTCCGGGCGAGTACGTAGCGCCTTCTTTAACTCTTGGACACAACGTTCTACTTGTCCATTGGACGCAGGATGGTATGGCGGCGTGCACTTATGGCTGATTCCGTTCTCCAAACAGAATTGGCGGAACAGGTGCGACGTGAACTGCGGACCGTTGTCGCTGACCAGTGTCTTCGGGATGCCGTACGTAGATAAGAACGACAGTAGGCACTCCAGGGTCTGGTGGGTTGTCGTAGAAGACATCTTGTAGACGCTGAGCCATTTTGAATAGCCGTCTACCAGCAGAAAGTAGTGCTGGCCGTCGTGCTCGGCGAAGTCGACATGCACTCTTTCAAAGGGCTCGGAGGGATAGATCCAGGGATGCGGTGCTTCCTTGGGCGGAGCGTTAGCGGTGTCTTGGCACTGACGGCATGACGTGGCTAGATGCTTGATATCATCATCAATGCCTGGCCACCAGAAGAAACTGCGTGCGACGGACTTCATTCGCACAATGCCAAGGTGCACACTGTGCAGCTCCTGCAGCAGCGCGCGGCGAAGTTGCACAGGGATTACGGTACGATGGCCTCTCACCAAACAACCAGACTCAATCGTCAGCTCGTTGCGGCATCGGCGGTAGGCTTGAAGATCGTCGGGGGTGTCGGCGGGCCAACCGAACTGAAGGTACTGCATGATGCGCGAGATAATGGCATCGTCTTTGCTGGCTGCAGCAACATCAGCAGCAGAGACAGGTAGAGACTCACATGGATCACGGGCATGCTGGAGAACGGCGTTCACAACGGTTGCTTCTTGCTGCTCGGACAGCTTCAATGGCAGGCGGGATAAGCAGTCAGCGATGATGTTAGCGGTGCCACTGATATGCTCAATCTGGTACTCATACGAGGTGATTCGCAATTTTTGGACATGTGGCAATTTTTGGACAAATCAGTTAAATATGGAAGTAGAGTCCTCCTGAGTCGTTGTCCTTTCCTTGGTGGACAAATCTTTGACAAGAGTGTCTTCGTGTGGTCCTCAAGTTTCTTCGTACCAATTTTTAGCGGTGAAGGCCGTTTCTTTCTGGGCGTTTTCTTTATTATTCTTAGGTAATGTAATGAGTAATTTTGAAATTTTCGATTAAATAATACATGATTGAGGATTCCGTTGACTCTACGTCGCATAACGGAGAGAATGTCGACATGGGGGATGTTGTATCCCTTCCATCAACTCCAGGGACTACGTCTTCCAGCTCGAATCCGCCTGGAAGAGTCTCCTCGCCTTCTCAACCGGTGCGTTTGTGGAGGGGTTCTGGTCAGGAGAAATCTCTTTTAGCAGTGCGAGCGTTCCACTCACCTGGCACCAGTGAACACTTCCTAGCCAAGAAGGACGCAGCGGCTAGTTACGGCGCTAGCCCTCCACTCTTTGCGAAATATGAGAAGGAGATGGGCCACACTGGAGTGCTCTCCTCTGTTCTTGAATATGACGTCCATGAAAACCCTTGAGTGACCCTTTAAATTGTGTGTCACATTGAAAAGCCTTGAAAAGCTTGCTATGAACGGCCTGTCATTAGAACTCATATCAGCCGGTCTCATAGGCATAGCCTTACCCCATTTTCATGTCCTGTGCAAGTTTTACTTGTTCACACCATTGCAGACTGCTGCTAGATGCTATTTAATTTAGTTGTCCAATAATTGCTCGCATTGAAAAAGCAGTAGAAAAAGACACCTTCGATCAGGTCAAGTTGTGACCGCATGCTTCAACTCTATGCCTTCAGGTGTGTGTGGTGGTGGTAAAGCATAAGTGTGCCAGTAGAAAAGCAAGAAAGAAATTTAATTTATCTTACAAACCAACATAATGGGGTGCTATTTAATTTGAGTGTCCAAAAATAGCAAATGACCTCGTACTCACTGAGAATTACTGCCCAACGCTGTAACCGGGAAACGGCTGTTGTTGGCATGTCGGAGTGCGGTCCAAAGATACGCAGCAGCGGCTTATGGTCAGTGCGGAGTACGAACGGACGACCATACAAATACATGTGAAGACGTTTCACTGCGAACACAATTGCTAGAGCTTCACGCTCGATCTGGCTGTAGTGCGATTCGGCAGAACTCAAAGCTCGGGATACGAAGCACACAGGACGTCGGCTGCCAGTATCATCTTCTTGCAGCAGACAGGCACCGAGGCCATACGGAGAAGCGTCACACTCGACAATGACTTTGCGGTTGATGTCGAAGTGGGCAAGAATGGGTGCATCGGCCATCAGACTCTTGACCTTCTCGAATGACTCTTGACATTCAGACGACCAGTCCCAGGGTGCGTCTTTCACGAGAAGCTGTCGTAGCGGTTGCAGTACATCTGAGATAGATGGCACGAAACGGCTGTAGAACATCACTAGACCGATGAACGACTGCAGAGCTGTCTGGTCTTTCGGTGGTGGTGCGTCGACAATGGCAGCAACCTTGTCGCCATTGGTTTGAATGCCTTCGCCTAAGACAGTGAAACCGAGATAGCGGACCTGGTCAAAGCTGAGCACACACTTCTCGAGACGTAGACGTACACCAAATTCGGCAAGTCGCTCCAGTACTTGACGTAGGCGCTCATCGTGCTCGGCTGGGGTTGCTCCGGTGATGAGGATGTCGTCATAGAAACAAACCACACCGGGGATGCCTTGCAGGATCTGATCCATGGTTTGTTGCCAGATTGCCGGGGCACTTGCAACACCAAACGGCAGACGGTTGAATGCATAGAGACCGCGATGCGTGGCAATGACGCAATACTTCTGGCTTGCTTCGGATAGCGGCAGCTGTGCGTATGCCTGGCTGAGATCAAGCGTGCTGAACATTGACCCACCGGCAAGACGTGACAACAGATCATTCGGATTAGGTATTGGATGCTGACGTGGATCGATGTGCCGGTTGATCGTGACCTTGAAGTCGGCACAAAGGCGGATGTCGCCGTTCTTTTTGCTGACTATCACTAGTGGCGAGGCCCACTCAGCTGACTTGACTGGACGTATGATACCTTCACCCTCCAGACGGTCGAGCTCACGCTCCACGGCAGGACGCAGAGCATACGGAACGGGACGAGCTGAACAACAGCGAGGGGTCGCTCCCTCCTTCAAGTGGATCTCAGCTTGGTGGTCCTTGACCGTACCGAGGCCAGTTCCAAATACCGCCGGAAACTCATTCTTGAAGTCAGCCTCTGTGCTCGACACTGAGTTGATGCGGAACAATGATGGCCAGTCGAGACGAAGACGGTGCAACCAGTTACGCCCGAGTAGGGGATGGCTACCGCCCTTCACAACCACAATGGTGTCTGTGATGGATTGCTCACCGTACGCTACTTCAACGACCGTCTCTCCTACCACTGGTAGCGAACTGCCATCATAGGTGGTGAGTTGCAGCTGGGACGCCGCAAGCGGAACATCACTCCAGGACTGTTCCCACACGTGTTCAGGTACTA